GCAGTGGCGTAACTACATTTTTTAGGCCTGTAAGCAAATTCTAACTAAGGGGCCCCTACCAACATACTAAGGGGCCCCTCTTTTTATACTCTTTACACGAAAAAATGTGAAAAGGATATATAAGGTTTGTCAAGATTTTCGTAACGCTTTAAAGGAAACGTCGGAAATATCATTAAGTATATATCAGTACAATATATATATACTTTTTCAGTTCAAACTACTCTCTCAGCTTTTGAACTCTTCGAACGAAACTTTACACGCATACTTTTCGGGAGCCATTTGGTTTGATTGAAATTGGACGTCTATTTCTTGTATCTGTGATATAAACTTAACAATCGGATATGAGGTTTCTCCGTTTTTAATAAAGGTATTCAAATGGAATTTGGTGTATACAGTACTGATATTTGCAAAAGACAACGTACAAAATTATTTTCAAATGGGTTTAAATCTAGATATAGCTTCCATATAAGTCTCTCGATTAAGACACATATTTTTCTTAGAAAAACTTTTTTATTTTATAATTAGGTTTAATATTTTATTTGAAGTACATACATATTATGTACTTTAAATTTAAAATTTACGTATCTTTTATAAAATGCAATATGAAGTTAATCCAACAAAAAACGTTTCGTCCCACTTTTGAGAATTTATTAAAAATAAATACAATGAATACAAAAATTTATAGTGGGGGCCCCTAAATTCGGGGGCCCGAAAGCGTTGCTTCCAGTTGCTTCCCTGTAGTTACGCCACTGTATACATCCCTTTTCAGACCTGTTTAATTAAATAGGTTTGATTAATTTTTTACTAAATTTTAAAATTTTTTCCGAATATTAATACTTTCAGATTATTAAATAATTATATTTAAATTGCTTAATAACTTATAAATTGCTTAATAACTTAAGAAAGAAATTAATTATGAAAAAATAATTTTATATGATTAATAATGCACATATATCAAGCTTTTGTATTATTTGGTAAGCAGACCTTGTAATCTATTTAAGTGTTCGTCGTCATTTGTAGTATTACCTTTGCATATTTAGATTAAAATAGAAGTTATATATATATATATTTTTTTTATATATACAAAAATGCACAAATTTTTTTTTGGAATTATATATACAAATTATATAGACTAGCATAACCACCAAATTAATTTTGGTGAATCTTCATGAAAGTATTTAATTAAAGACATTATATTTAATAGACCCCTGTTTTATAAGTTGGATTAGTACTTAACTTAATTTTTGTTCGAGAATTTTATTATCATATTGAACAATATTACAGAAACTAAAGCCAATTAGTTAAGATTTGGATATATTATTTTAGATACTTTTACTAGACGAAATATTTAACTACTGTTGGAGCAGTAAAATGTGACCTACTAAAAAATCCCTTACAAACCTCTGCACACCGCTTATGTAGCAGACTCATTTTGTAAAGTCAACTATTTTATTATTTTATATGTTTATTTAAATGTTATGCAAATAACTCATTTTTATATATTAAATATTTTAATCTTGTACAATAATCTTATTTCATGAGTCAGAGATTTATGAATTTTACTTTTGTTTTGTGTATTATTATTTATTATTCAATTACACAGACATTATTTATTGTTATAATGAACTTATCTGTTTTCAATTGTTTTCAATTGTTTAAAAATTTTTACATAGATTCCTCATTCCTCTATTATTTTTCCTTCTCATTGTTTGATAGATATCACAGTTTTATTTACACATTTGCTAATTATTTAAAATTTTTAATATTGTTTTATTTTATGAATAAAGGGTAAGGGTAGTAAGATGTGCCATGGTTTTTCTTTTATTAAACAAAAAATCATCATCAAAAAATTACCGGACTATTGCTTGCAACATACTAATAATATGTTGACTATAAGAAATACTCACTTTGTAATCATTTCAAAGCAAAAGCCGGGAAAACATAAAGCACAAGGTTATAGCAGAGATATAGAGTCTCTATATCTGGTTATAGAATGAAATGTTAGAAATGTACTCCGATATTGAGCTACACTTGAAAATAACTTATGATTCCATGTAATAATTTCCTAATAAAATCAGGCTATAAGGTTAAGATCTTGCAGTTATAGCTTTAACAGATTAGTTCGTATGTAGTTTAAATTTATTGCAAAGTACCTTGTTAATAAATAACTTTCATTATTATAGACCAATAAAATTTAGGCAGATTGTTAAAATGTTCTCACAATCTGTTTGGTTTTAGATTATATTTCACTTAAGGAAACACTCCCAATATATAATATATTGGATAAAAATTTAGTTGTAATATTCTTGGGAAGCAATGATGTGATCAGTTAAGTGAACCAGTTCTTGTTGTTTGTTTAAAATTTTTAATTGTAAAAACATAATAAATATTTTTTAATTTTTTTTTTTCAATACAAATAAATTAAAAACTTCTGAAATGGCCGTCAATTAAAAATAATAATATTGGAAGAATTTTGAGTTAATTTTTAATAGTATTATTTTAGTTTTCTTTCATTTTTATAACACTCTGCCCTGAAGAAGAGTCAAAATAAAATCAAAATGTTGACGATATTTATATAGATAATAAATACTTATATAAATAATATTACAATATAATAAAAAATAATAAAAATAAACACATTCGAAAAAAGAATACGAAATAATCCGAATATTTTTTGAATGTTCTTAAAAAAGCTTTACGGAAGCACATATGTCTGAATCACGGTGTAATAATTTTGAATAGACTTAACAAGTATAAATGAATTATATCATTGAAATAATTTATTACATTTATTAATTAATGTCTTTCTCTTTTTTTTTTCTTGTTTATTTTATGTTCGCAATCAATTAATTAATTGTATAAATAAATATAAAAATAAAGAAATAATTATAATTAATTAAAATAATATAAATTTATTTTATAAATTATTTTACCAATTAATGTTTATTTATTTAACAATTGGGCTTCTCTTATCGGATGATATACAAGAGGTATTTTTGGACATTTTAAGTTACCTCCAAAAGAATTAGTTTTTAGTGTTCTTTGATAACATAACTCTCAAATTATTTTAAATAAACCTTTTAAAAAAGATACACAAAAAGCACAAAAACCTTAAAAAAGGAGAATATCGTTATTGCAAATCAATCAAAAAACTCTCCGAATTCATACCATTTACCATCCCTTTGGATTTATATGTAGATTTTGTTTGGCGTGGTTAATAGTATGAAAAAATTATAATTCTGGATTAGGAAAAAATTTATATATGACCAAAACGCTCAAAAATATGAAGGAATCACATGCATAATGACGTGTTTTAGAACAAAGGTATCATTCCTCTATATATGTATTTTATATTTATTGTCTAAGTTTTGTATAATTATTTATTCTATATAAATATTTAATTCATGTTTTAATGTTAATGTATCCTATAATTGTTTTCTTGTGATATATACTAAAATATTGTTACATTATATTATTATTCTATAGTACCCTGATGATGACTATAGAATATAGTCGAAATATTAAATCGATATTTTTTTTTAAATAAAAACAATTTTTTATAAATTGTTTAACTACTGACCAATTAGCTCGTTAAAATAAATTGTTAAAAAAAAAACTTAGAATAAAAGTACCGCTAGTATTGTAAATTTCTGTAGAAAACATCTATATAAATATTTTTCATATTGCTAAAAATAAATACAATTAATAAAATGTTATTTTTTGATAATTTTATTATTTGAAACTAATATGAATTATACAAATTCACAAAAAAAAAATTAGTTTAAACATAAAAATATTAGAAGTAAGTATTAGTATTGCTGAAAAAGCTACGCTTTCTTTATATGGTGGCAAAGAAGTAATATTCAAATTTAGAGGGTTTTCTTCTTTCTTTGCTATTCGAAAAAATATTAGTAATATTTTTAGAGTACATTTTTATATGCGAAATATATTGCATAAATAATATATTATTATTTGCTAATGTCATAAACTAAACTAAAAAATAACATTTTTCAAATTGCAAATATTTCATTTAAATTTGATTGCGTTAATTTTACGGTTCAACTGATTAGAATAGGTTTTTTACTGGTACTCATAGAATGAATAATAAATAATTGGTTTTAAATACAGCTAATGCTTAAGCAGAATTTATAAAAAAATATATAAATATTAAAATTAGTGAAATAAATTGTATATATAAAATATATAGTGAAATTAAAAAAAAATATAT